GCTCTTAAAAAATCAAGAAATAACTTCAATTCGTGAGGCTGCTCACTTATATGAGATATCTCATTCTGCTTTTCAAGACCGACTTAATGGCAAGTCTTCAAGAGCAAATTTACGCGCAAATTCCACTTAATTAACCCAGGCTGAAGAGGATAGGCTTGTTGAATGAATGCTGAGCCTAGCTAAACAAGCAATACCTCTCTGTGACCAGCATTTGTGGAGAATATGCATATTAATTTTTAAAAGTTAACATCTACAAGAAGACCGATTTGACTAACTTTTAAATTGAAAACTTGGTATTAGTTCTAATAATTGAATCATAAGTGAGATTAAATTAAATAACTTATTAAAGAATTTCTTTCTGCTGTGAATTCATATAAAATTATTATTTATCTTTTTTATTATAGATGATCATGATAATTATTTTACTTTAAAATTTAATTATATTTGTAAGAAGAGAATAATTATTTTTATATATTATCACATTTATTACTTTTATTGCAGTTTTTAGATGTAAGTGTTTTTATAATTTAAATAAATATATAAAGATTTAATGAAAAAGTATATGTAGTTTGAATTTAATATTATCAAAAAGACTGATTTTCTATATATGTACTCTACCTTATACAGAGACCTTAAAGACTTATATTATTCAAGACAAGTTCAAAATCACTGATATAGTCTTATTTGAATCTGATCAAATATTCAATAACTGAATATTCAACTTAGAACTTCTATTTTCTTAGTTAGGTAATTTAGCAATTTTTATCATTTGCATAAGCAGATGAATAAAATTAAGGATCTTAGAAGGCAGAGGCTTAAGAACTTTTCTCAAAGTCTTATACAAGATTTGTTCAAATTATCAAGGTCTATAAACATGAAATGATTAATGCTACTACTATTATGAAAAAGTAACATCAGAATATATTTGTAATGGATGTGCTACTGAGTACGCCCCTAGCACTTCCTTATAACAAAAAGACGAATTCGTTAAAAGGAGAAAAGAAAAAAAAAAAAAAAAAAAAAAAAGAGAGAGAGAGAATGAAACCTACGAAGGTGGGGGCAGAGTTATATACGGGTCAGGCTAATCATCAAATTCAATGTGAAGGAGGAATAACTAGAGAAGAAGCTGTTGAGACTATTATTCCATCTGTTGAGTCTATTGAGCTGACAGTTATTTAAATAATCCTCTGCCCCTAGGGCCTCAGAGTCTATGCCACATTCATGAGCGCCACCGAGGTGCAGCAATTAATTCTCTCAGGCATAAAAGAACAAGATGTCCCAATCCTAGTGTCATTTAATTTAGTTTAAATAGGTGGTTGTTGAATATAGATAATTGCTCATTTAGTTTTTGCTGGCTGACTCGCTTGTTTGGATTAAACGGTTAACTAACAAGTTTAACTACAGATCTAACTATATCTTGTGTCTTCAATTATTTATCGTCATCTTCTTTCCACCCAATGAGTTGCTGGATAAATAAACAGCGAAATGTCGCTCCTGAAAACCATTTCTGATTTCATTGAAAAATAGTTCCAACCAGCTTCTAAGAAGCTCTGAATATAAAACTACATCATTCATATGGAAACAAGTATGCAAGCTTTCCTCGGTGTATATATGTACCTATATATCTTCTAAGTAACACCAAATGCCAGCCGCTCAAAATGCAAGAAGCAAGGTTGTATAAATAGGCGATGGCAGAAGCAAAAGTATGAGTACAAAAGGAGAAAACATAGAATTATGTAAACTGTACATTCATTTTAAGAAATTGCTGTAAATTTCATGACCGACCATTCATTTCAAAGTTACGGGAAGGGAAGCCTTCGCCTTCTCCGCCGCTTTCTCCGCTGCCTTGTTAGCAGCTTTTTGGAGTCTGGCCTTCTTGATCTTTTGGACATATGCAAAGAAGAAGATGAAAAGCAGTTCAACCCTATGTGATGTCAAAACATTAGATTGTTAATTTATCCGAGCGGAAAAAAGAATTACTTGGGTTGGAGTATAGAGAAGTAGTTCATACCGTTCTTTCGTCATCATCAAAAATCCCTGAACAAGGAGCCCCTTCAGTATCTGAGGGCCGATTCCTTTGAACAATGCCAGTGGCCCTTCATGCTCGATGATATACTTCATTACTTCACCGAAGCTTTTGAAGGGCTTGCCCTGGCGGACTGGAGGTGGTCGGGATTGGAGTCCGACCTTGGCCACGATCAACGGCTGCGTGACAACGGTCGCGAGAGCCTTGGAAGCAGCGCCCAACACTGTCATTCGCACAAAAATTAGCACTTTATTTGTGATATCGGCGGCAAAAAATACTGCTATTTGAGGGGGCATAGGGACATATTTCGACTAACCGAAAGCTTCCCATGGCTGCAGATTTTCTTTCCCAGAGAACAGGACGTCCTTCAATCTCTCATAGACTCCGTATGTGATGGCCGGATTGACCACAAGCACCAGACTGGCCTTGAGTCCTCTCCACAGCCCACTCCAGCCATCTTCACTGTTAATGACTTCTTTTCCGGTGTCGATCAGGCCTTTCTTCTCCCCCTTGGCCTGCGTCTGTTGCCTGGTGGTAATAACCGCGACGGGGATTGTGAAGAGCTGCGCGATGGCACCCGCAACGGCTCCGAGGGTAAGTTCCATGGCTGTGCCTGGATGTTGCTTCCCGCGGGATGAAGAGGTGTATAGCGTCCGCACAATCGTATACCAGTAGAAGTACGCGAAGTTGGTTGAGGCTACGCCGAGAAGGGAGCCACTGATGCCGGTATAGAGGCCCTGGATACCCTCGTCCGCGATAATTTTGTGAATTGCATCCAGAGTAGAATCATAGTGGACTGGTTCGCCGGGAACGTGGCCATTTTCGGTTTTTGAAGATTTAACCTGGACTTGTAGCCGAGTTTTCGCGCTGTTTTCACATCGCATATTAGCTCCTGCGTTGTTCCTTTTCTTTTCTGGCCCGCCCCCCCCTCTCTCCTCCGCGGGGGTACTCTTTTTCTATGGATTTGTTCAATGATTGGAGGGTCAGGGCTCAAGAGAGGCTCACATGTCCAATGGATATAACAAAGCATTCGCCAATACAGCACCTGTAGCCCCTGATATTGCGCTTTGCATTGGCGACAGGCGCATATGCTTCGACTGACCGGCCATTAGGCCAAAGGGAAAAGGGTTGACTTTCGCTAGTCGATGAGTTCTAGTAGCCTTTCTTCCCTTTTTTTTTTTTTGGGGGGGGGGGGGGGAGGGAGTCTGGAATTATTTCTGCAAAGTCAGGCGCGGAGGGGAAGCGCGGGGAGAGAGTGAGGGCGGACAAACGGGCAACCGGGGCCAAAACCGAGTCAACGAAAAGGAAAAGATATCCGCCTTAACGCCGTCTGTTCTCGAAAACGGATTAAAAAAGCAAAGCCAAAGGGAGGGCGAAAAGGAGAGGAGAATAATACAAGAAGGATTGCCCAAGGGAGAAGAAGAAGCTACGAAGTTTCCGTTTTGTTGTTATTTATTTCGCCGTCTGCTGCGGCGGCGACGGGTTTTGGCTGGTTGACTGGCTCGGGCTCCCGGGCGGAGGCGGATACAGCGCTTGAGCCGAGGCATCCAAGTCAGGGGGGGCCGATGCTTGTTTGAGGGAGAGATCCGAACAAAAACTTAGATGTTGATGCAAATTTTCCACTTGAACTCGCTCAGATAGTTAAATAAGAGCCAGAAAAACTAACTACATAACCGGCGACGCGACCTAATGATTTGGTTGACTACTGCCCGTTGACCACAGACAGTATTTCTGCTCGATTTTTCTGTTTTCTGCTTTTTTTTTTTTTTTTTTTCTCTTCGTCTTCTTTCCCTCTCGCCACGCAGAGCTTGTAAAATTCCCCCCCCCCCCCCCCCCCCCTTCCAGTTTCTAGCTCTGCTGTGAAATTGGGGCCCGGGGCGGAGTAACTAAGTGGTTTCAGCGGAACCGCTCAACCCACCGCGATATGCCCGTGAAATTTTACGTTTCAAGGTTGCAGCTGAGCATTACCCGGTCTTCAAAGCTATTCGAAACCCTTTTCCAGCTTGCTCAGGGTTTGGAAGAAATGCTAGCTAGCTTTCTGCTGCGTTGAAATTTATCCCGGGACGCCGAGGGGCCAAAGGGAAAAGCCGAAGAATGTACTCCGTAGTTACAGGCTGCCGTGGCACTCTCATTAAAGCAAAGCCCATACTTTCCTCCAAATTACTGGCAAACTTCATGCAATAGTGAGGATTCTGCTATCCCTGCTGAAAATAGGGGAAATAACAACCGTCCTCGTCATTCTTTAATAGTCAAGTAGTCAATCGCTCGCTCAGTTGGGCCTGAGCCTTATTTTTGGATCGAGATATCACCTTGTAGCAACGCCTCCGCCTCCGCCTTTCCCCCCCCCCCCATCCCCACTCTTCTCTCACCCTCGAATACATTTCAAATAAGAGATAGATAATAGAACTGTGCTGCCAAATCCCGGTTCGGAAAAGAAATAAGAATTTTGAAGGCAATATATTATTGACCACCTCGGATGTCGGAGTTTCGGGCATTTTGCGGGCTTGACTTGGATGCTGTTGGATTTTCTTCAGGGTCGTTTTTGTTCCTTAAGGAACCCTGGCTGCAACTCCTCTTGCACTGATCGTCACTTTAGGCAAAAACCCCCAATCGATCGATCCTAAACAAAACCCTAAATAACCAGCCTTAGCACCATTCTAGTGCTGCCGCAACTAAAACCACAACGACTCCACTCAAAAGGTCCGACCAAGCAACACACTCAACCCCTTAGCTCAGTTGTCGGTGACAGTTTGTGGTTGCATTATCGTGATCGTCACCACTCTCTTATTGTCTTATTGGTGCTTCCTCACCACCAGAATCATCCAGGGGATCTTTAACCAAGCATCCGTCGCTCGTTTTGGGCTTTGCTGCGGTTAAACACCGGTGCGCCCCCCAACCTGACACCTCTGCCTGCCAAGGCTTGTTGTTTTCTTGGGCGTAGACGTATCTGTCCTGTCGCGTCCGGGAATCGCAAATGTCCCAGTCATCATCGACGCCGGGAGAGCTCGAGATTAAGGCTCAGGTAATATCCACCAATGGACATATATGTTATGTTGATAATGTCGCGGAAAAAAATTCCCTAGACTGACACCTTGAGCAGAAGGCGGAAAATGATATGTCTGCTGCAGAGACACAGAGCTCAGCTCTAGATGCCGCAATCAGCGCTGTTGAGAGTTACCTGGGCGCCCTCAAGTTGGCTAGTTCTCCCAGTGAGAGACAACGACTGGATGCCAAATGCAAGGAGCTCCTTAGAATGGCCGAAGAAATTAAAAGGTCCAAATCGTGGTGTCAAGACCAGTCGCGCGCCAACAACGGCAGCAGTGCCACCACCAGTGCCAATGCCAGTGCCGGTGCCAGCAAGAGGAAGATCAGTAGTGTGAAGCCCAAACTTCGAGAGCCAGTCTCGCAACGGCAGCTGTCGAATAGAGAGCAGATCATTCTGCTGGAAGACTCGAAGCTCAATGGATTTGTCTTCCCTCCATGGCAGAGTGTGCCTGACCCAAGTGAATTCGAATTAGATGAAAGTGGTCAGCTATTTACGTATGTATAGTTGGGAGATTATAGAGTTTCTCCCCCAGATAGTTAGGACAGGTCTGACGCGAGGATAGGGACCAATATGATCTCCGACTCTCAAATTTGCAGCTACAGCATTATAACGGCTGGAAACGCGCTTCAGAAATGTCAGCCGCTAAAGTGCCATTGGATCGTCGGGGGAGCCCCAACCAGCCGTTGGGAGACGCGAAGTCTATTGATCTAGTACAAGACGTTACGACGGATTGCTCAGTTGTTGCTAGTCTTTGTGCTGTGATCTCACAGGTGGAAAGAGGATATTCGAAGGTCTGGCTAACCTTTTCGCGTCCGTCAATATTTACTGTATGTATAATAGAAGTTTGCGTTGACAAAAGAGGTCCACAGGTTTACGCCATAAAGTTTTATCCGTCAGAGAAGGAAACCTTGCGCCCAAAGCCGTCAAAGTCCGGGAAGTATATATTCCGGATGCACTTCAATGGATGTTATCGAAAGGTTGTAGTTGATAACCGCCTTCCCTCATCCAAAACCTCAAGGTTCCTTCATGTCACTGACAGGAATGACCCTGAGCTCCTATGGCCGGCACTGGTTGAGAAGGCGTATTTAAAACTTAGGGGAGGCTACGATTTCCCAGGAAGTAATTCTGGTACCGATCTATGGATTCTGACTGGTTGGATCCCGGAGCAAATATTTCTCCATGAAGAGGATATGATCCCTGGGCAACTTTGGACACGACTGTTCAATGCATTCAACTATGGCGATGTATTAATCACTGCTGGCACCGGAGCGTTTACTGAGCTGGAAGAAAAGGAACTCGGCATAATCGGCATGCATGACTATGCAATTCTTGACATGAAGGAAAACAATGGCCGTCGCCAGTTCCTCGTAAAGAATCCTTGGGCAGCAGGTACCGTTTGGGAAGGAATTGGACAGTCCGAGCCCCCTGCTGCAGGGGAGTGTGACAACAACAACAACAACAACAACTACAATGGGAGGCAGAGGCGCAATTATCCCATGTCTCCCGGAACATTCTGGACAGACTGTGATAAATTACTTCAGAATTTCGAATGCCTATATTTAAACTGGAATCCGGTCCTCTTCTCCTTTCGCCAGGATATCTATTTTACCTGGGATCTTTATGCTGGTAGATCGGGTCCCGGCTGCTTCGAGAGAAACCCACAGTTTTCTGTAAGTTCCAAGTCAGGTGGTTCTGTCTGGCTTTTATTGAGTCAGCATTTCGCGACCGATGATTATCTCCTCTTCAGACACCAATTTGGTGACATATTGAAGGGGAAGGTTGAGCATGGTTTTACTAGCCTCTGGGTTTTCAATAATGACGGCCAGAAGGTTTCCTTAAGTGAGGGTGTTCTCCATCGCGCTCCCTTTGTCGATTCGCCCAACACCCTAATGAGATTTGAGATGCCCCCCAACAATACCTATACTGTAGTGGTTGCAGAGCAGTCTCTGCGGAGGGCAACCCGTAACTTTTCTCTATCTGGTTTCTCAACCGGTTCGTTGACCATATCACGCGCTTCTGACAAATACATACATGTTCAGTCCCTAGAGACTGCTTGGACAAAATCAACAGCCGGAGGCAACTTGGAGTCAGGGCGATACCCAACAAATCCTCAATTTAAGATCGAGACCATAGACACATGTGACATTGCTGTGTTGCTAGAGACGCGGGATCCCGAACTTGCTACGCACGTCAAGGTAGTGTGGTCAGGAGGCAAGCGTGTGTCCACCGTCAAGTCTCGGGACGTTGCCTTTGCCAGCGGAGATTATCGCCGTGGTAGCTCTCTGGCTGAATACGTTCACTTGCCCAAAGGATCATACACCGCTGTCTGCTCAACGTTTGCTCCCGACCAGGTCGGGAAGTTTACGTTGTGGGTTAAATCGACAAAGGAATGTGCGGTGTCGCTCTTACCACCGGAAGGAGCAGGACGTTTAAGTACCCTGTCCAACGTCGGCGAATTTCCACCGGGCACGGAGAGGATTCTTGCACCCATTACTTCATCGCGGCTAACCAAGGCTAAGGCGATCGCCAGGTTCAAGGGCTCATGGATAGGATCTCGGATTGTGGCGCCTTCTCCGATTCTGATGTCTATTGAACTTGGCCAGGGCCCCTATAAGAAGGTATTTGAATTCTCTAACGATGGGCATTTTAATGATGCCGCCTCTGGGGTACGGATCGAGGATTTTGATATACAGCCCCTTTTCAACCAACTGGGGGGACTGTGGCTTGTTGTGGAACGCGTTGGGGGTCCTGAGGGTGAAGTCTATGACACTCTTCAGGTGGAGATTTTGTCGGAGGATCGGATTGAGATTGGCGCATGGGGAGTTGGTGGAGGTTGAGTTAGGAGGTTCTGTTGCGTTCATTGCCCCTCCATACATGTATCTAGAGTATCTCATTGGGCTGAGGAGATGGACGATGGTCATTGGTTATTGACGATTCGGCAATTTGGATGGGAGAGCTCGGGGGGCGGCGTTTTGGTATCATTTCGCAAAGTGGCAAATGGAGTCCTGGCTTCCATGGTTGCTGGAGCTAGATACCATTTCTCTTTTAACTGAAGCAATTGGAATTTATCATCTTGGCTATTTACTCTCTGCCACAGCTCCAGTACCCCCATGGATATTACGTTCATACGTTTGCAACACATAATCAATCCTCGATTAGGCAATGTTCTAGAAGCCCTGTATGCAGCTGCCGCAGCCCCCTGTCAGAGTGCTGACTAAGCTGTCGACAAGTCACGCACGTCATTCTTTCCAACGACGCCGGGATGTAAACGCGGGGCACCAACAGCTCTCCATATCCCAACCCATGTTTCATGTTCCGTATTTCAGTACTCCGGATCCCCGACAGCTATCCGCTACGTTGACCCTCCAAAGAGATAGATCCACCCGTTAGCAGCTGCATTCAAAGCTAGGGCGAGATGGCTGCCAATACACCCGCGAAGCTAAAAGCTGCAGACATCACCCGTTTTGTCACTCGGGCGTCGCAGCTCGAGAAAGCGAGGCCCGTGGTATCATACTGGTGTATGTTGATTCCTCCCCCCCCCCCCCACGGACTGTTTTGACAATAATCGCGGGGGATGAGAGCGGGAAGGATGCTGATATTTGAGTATTCTACCTATAGGCAACTACTGGGCTGTGAACCAGATATTATCCAAGGGCCTGCACAACTCAGATAGCGAATGTTTAAGATACACAACGGAGCTTATGGATAAGTTGGAGAAGGTTTGCTGCTGGCTTGTCTCGTTCATTCTGCTTTCTATATGTACTCTTCGTAGCATGTCGTTGATGCTAACTTGATTTGCAAATGCCTCCTCTAGTTTAAATCTCAACATGTTGACGACGATACTGTTACAGATGATGCCGCCGGACAAGCCTATGTGGAACAATTCGGATTAGAGACCTTCCAGCGTGCTGACAACGCTGTTCGGGCCAACAGGGCTTCATTGTTCGCTAGTGAACCTGCATCCTAACTGCTTTGTATACGGCTTTAGCTAACTCCTAGCCAGACAAACTGCGGATACCTTCCAAGCTGGGGCAACCTTTCTAGAACTATGCCAGATATGGGGACCGATTGAGCCGGAAATAGCTACCAAGATTAAGTTTGCGAAATACCATGCCTTGCGCATTGTCAAAGCACTCAAAGCCGGAGAGGACCCGAACTTATCAAACCCACCAAGGGAGGAGGAAGAGATGCCAAATGACGTACCTAGCTTGGATCCCAATGACCCGGAGGTTCAAGCTCTAAATAACCCGTCATCGCAGTTAGCACCAGAAGTAAAATTGCGACAACCGTCCGTAGAAGATGTTACAGACGAGTTTTACAACGAGGAAAGAAGATTAGCGCACCAGTCCTCTCTGAACGAATCTCTCCATCCATCCAGAGCCTCCTCGGTTCCCCCCCTCCGACGACCGGAATCAGGCATTGTCACAGCTGCATCCAGTACAGGACTTCCAAGCCCACCTTCGTACTCAGCTGGTATGATGGACCTAAGCCCTGACGCGCGCCAGCGCCCTTCACACCTCTCTCAAGCATATGTTCCTGACCTTCCTGCAGCCCCCTCCGACTTCCCCTCACCCGCGTCAAGCTCCCAGGACCTCCCCGCAACAGGTACAGGAGCCTTTTCTGAGCGAAGAACTTCCCTAAGCACCTTCCAATCATTCCCGGCTCCAACAACGCAACCTTCAACGGACATTCCTGGACCCGCAATGGGATCCCCACCTCCCTCTGGATTTGATGGATGGATGCGGCAGGCGCCTCCAACCACTGCTCCACCCACTAGTATCCAGCCCACAAAACCTGTGCAGGGCGCAAGCTCGTACCCCAACCAGCCACCAGCCCTTGGAGTAGATGAGGACGCAATTGCAAAGGCGCAAAAGCATGCCCGGTGGGCTGTGTCAGCGCTGAATTTTGATGATGTGCAGACCGCAATCAAGGAGTTGACGAATGCACTGAATATGTTGGGTGCTAAGTGATTTTGTTTTGATTTTGTTTTTCCTCTCTTCTTCTTCTCTTTCCATTTTTCTTTATATTTTTCTCTTTTCTTCTTCTTCTTCTTCTTCTTCTTCTTCTTTTCTTTTCTTTTTTTTTTTTTTTTTTGTGTGTGTGTGTTTGGAGTTTCGTGTTTATCCAGTGCTAGCTGAGGAAGATAAGATTTTATTAGGGGCTATATCTTTTCCCACCTATTGTGCTTATCCTTAGGGAAAAGAAGAATAGTAATGAGTCATTTTTCTTTGCCTTGAAGATTGAAAGTTGGCAAAGGCAAAGCCTTAAGGTGCTTAAATTACGTACCGTTTGAGGCCAATTATCAGGGACCATGCCAGGTTGTGCCTCTTCCCTTCACGTTGACCGTATATCATGTCGAATTGGAATTTCCCCGGAGCCAGCCAGGGGATGGGCATAGCTGGACAGGGGAGTTTTAAAGTAAGAGAATACCCTCATAAACACGGTTGAGGTTGTATGGATCAACTTTGGGATGATCTGGAACTGCGAACTGGGATAGTTTCCCCTCATTCTGTTATTTTCGATATTTTGTCCATGGAACAGGCTTTGTCAGTATAAACGCCAATTCAATGACATACGTTTACAGCTATTATTATGCAGACGTCCAAGGGGAAGTACGTTAGAAAGTGTTAGAAATGTAGCATAAAATTTGCTATCATTATCTCTTCTTTCTGCTACATCATTTCGAAGATTTTCAGATACACGCACTGACCCCGATGGCGAAGTCTTGAAAGGTGACAATTACGGGACGGACTGATGGCAACAGAAGCGACGAGAACACAAACACCAGCTCCTCCTGTACAGCCAACCACCGGCGAAACCGCCTCAGTCTCAACCTTTTCCGGGTGTAAAAGTGAGGGAGGGGCTGAAACATCTGAAGCAGAAGTTCTCCATAACAGGATATGCCGCGCATGCGTCTTTTTATCCTTAGCTTGCATCCCCCGCCCCCGCCTTTCTCTCTCACCCCTTTCCACAACTTCACCCATATTCGGACTCGCACATGTCCTTCTACCCTGTGAATATCATCAACAAACTTTGTTTCCATTCCGCGTCTGCATACATACATGGGGATACAGTTGCGACCATGTATGTATGTCTGGGTATCCTATTTAGGAAGGGTATGTGTGAATGCATATATGCGGGCGTAGGGGGATGGAGGTATGGGTTTATGGAGGTCGGTGGGAAGTATGTAACATTGGAGACGCTACTTCGTATTCATACAAATGCTCTTGGGCAAGTTCCAAGAGCGCATTAAAGCTGACGTTTAAGCCGACAGTTTATTTCACGGATGCATCCAATATCGGATGTGAATTTGGTCCCCATTGGGACATGAGAAAACAGAAGAGGAATTGGAGACAAATCATTGCTCGTACCAACTACGAGTCCGCATCTATTTCAACCTTTAAAAAACAGCAGCAACATTGATATTAATATGAAATGGGCGGTGTTCTGTTTTTTTAGGCAAGCCGCCGTGGTAGGCTACACGTAGACCATTCCCACACGCCCCCGACGAGGAGCCAATGCAGACCAAAAGTATAAAAGAAAGAAAGGCACTGCCAGACACCAGCCAGGATCATATTTTGGAGATTTTCCATGCTAGGGAGCCTCTTCCGATCAACGATGCCCCACAGAGCGGGCCATGAGAAAATCAGTTAAGCCGGCTTCTACGTCAACCTAGCGTTGAAGAAACTGCAAGTAATTATGGACGAAGGGAGATATCAAGGCAATGTCCGAACGCAGGGTGGTTTGGTTGCTGACATGCATATGAGGCTCTCAGGGGGGTGACACTGTCCAGGCGTGTGAGTGGTTGAAGGGGTGGAACTTGGTGAATATAAGATTCAGTTTCTTACAGTCAAACCCCTTCCGACCAGGTCAGCCCAGCTGCATATCGAGAATTCCTCCTTGAGATGAAGAAACTGGGAGAGGGGATGCGATGACAATGCATCATTCAATGAATATCTGAAATCTACCCTTGGAAAAACAAGAATCGAGAAAAAACTCATTATTGGGGGTTCCCTCTCGGATTCTATTCCATCCCTAGCGAAAATCTTAAATAAAAATAAAGAAGTGGTGCATAAGGGAGGACGGAGTGCGGAGTTGTGCATCCTTTTTGCAGTTCCCTGGATGTGTCCACCCTGTCCTAGACTTCGACTGTCGCTGGGCCCCTCCCCCCCCAGCTGTCCTCTTCAAAATTTCCATGGTTTGCGTACCCGGTGAGTAAGAAAGGCGTTGCAAAATTTGGACACAGAGAGGTTTGTTGATAAATGGGAAAAAGCCAGAAGACAGGAGGAAGGGGGTTGACGGCTGTCCGTCATGTATCAGTTGTGACCAGCATTCTGAAACCCTCTGATTTTTTAGTTTTTCTTTTCTTTTTTTTACTTGCGAAGAAGGGCAGAAAAGAAGAATAATCCATCCTCTCACCTGCAGGCTGCAGGGAATTTAATTAGACAATGCTAGTGAGCTAGTTGGGTCGGTTGTATTAACCAACCAGCGCGGATGAATGACTTCAAGATGATGATGGTTGGATGACTTCCAGGGATAAGGCTGGCCTTTCTTTTTTTTTTCTTCTTTTTTTTTGCAATTGTTACGGAGTATTATTTATTGCCGTGTGATGCTTTTCAATATCGAATCCTTTGGACAAGAAAGAAACAATGCAATGTGCAATACGGAGTATACTCCCTCCGTTGTAATGGGATCTTCCTCACATTATTTCATTCCTCATGCAAGAGGGTTCCAACTCCCCTCCCGAAGTGCAGAATGTGTCACGTGGCGTGTTTCGGAAGTCACTGGTACCTGGTGATCATGGCCGGGACCATGGCGATCTCCGCAAAATTGGGGTTGGGCACACATAATATTGGTGTACCTGATACCTGCGAGCAGGCCGTTGGGCTGACAAGTAACCACTCAACCGTTGGAGAAAATTTGGTGGGAGGAGAGAAAATAACGAAATCAAGAAAAAGTGGAATTAGCTAGCAACATATAACCAAAAAAAACAACATTGCAGATATCTGTCTTTCAGGAAATTAATTAATCGAAAACGGTTTTGTGTGTGCTCCGCAGTGACAATGGGCATTAGTCTGTATAACTGCACGAGTACCTGCGTGCTTGCGTGCAATGGCGCACATAGTATTCCTTGTGTTCGCCGTTTCAGCCGAAACAAAACGATGGATTATTATATCAAATATCACATGTCAACCAGATATGAATAAAATGGGTTCCTGCAGCTTCTTTAATCAGTTTCTGGTCTGACAGACTCCTCATTATTAATTGTAACTAAGTAACTAATCAGAATGAATGCCGCAGACAGTAATCGCTGACCTCTCCTTACTTAGCCTTCCGCTGATGCGTTTCTAGTCGAATTTAGGACGAGCTTTGTCCTGATTCTTCTTCTTCTTCTTCTTCTTCTTCTTCCTCCTCTTCTCTCTCTCTCTCTCTCTCTCATCATTTTCGCTTCTTCTTCTGATTCGGCTTCTGCCGCTTCTTCTTTTCTTACATTGACTCACCAACCCCTTGCGTTCTCTATATACCTTCTCTCGCCTCTCCTTAATTAATTCAAGTGGCCCCGAGAAGGCTGGTCCGTCTCTGCTTCGATATATCCACCTACCTAGGTGTGTCTCCAATCCTAATTCACCCGTCCGGGGCAGATAAATCAACTCCTACTGCGTATTTGTTCACCCAGCAAACACCACCACGAACATCTCTACACTTCAAGCTAGAGACTCAGCCAACCTGTTAGCCTGCACGCTGTGCACTGAGCTTTAAAATTAGCACCCTCCTTTTCACACACATACACACACACACACACACACACACACACACACACACACACACACACTCACACACACACACACACTCACACACACACACACACACACACACTCTCTCTCTCTCTCTCTCTCTCTCTCTCTCTCTCTCGCCCCCCGCCTCTGTCCAGCGTGTCCGAAACGGATCGACATCGTCTCTATTCTCGGCCGATAGCACGACTACCACTCACCAACCCATGCCCTGACTGGAGCAATATCTACGCTTTATCCGAAAGTTACATCCGCCCTATTCAACGGATAACGCACGTTGACTGGACGGGTTCGTTGGCGTATATCTCCTCTCCTCTTTCTCTCCCGATTATTATTTCCCGTTCGACGACACCCCCGTTGAACCACGATGTCCAGGGAGGCTAGCAAGCCTTCCATCTTGATCGTTGGAGGCCTAGGTACGATAAACATCTCCCTCGACGAGAAAACTTTCATGTCGACATCCAGCTAGTTATACCTCCCCCCCCCCCCCCCCCTTTTTTTTTTTTTTTTTTTTTTTTTTTTTTTTTTTTTTTGTAGGGGGGGAGGGGAAGGGGAGACTGACTCGATGCGTGAAACGAACCACAGGCTTCCTTGGCCGTTTTCTTGCCCTCTATATCCATGAGAACAACCTCGCTTCAGAGGTGCGGATTGTCGATAAATTGCTTCCTCAGTTGGCCTGGTTGACTCCTGAGTTCAACGTCGCCTGCTCCCAGGACAAATTTGTTCAGGCAGATGCAAGTCGTGAGCGTACGTAAAACCCATTTCTCATTTCATTTTTCATTATTGATTTTTATTTTTCTTTGCTCCACTCCCCTAGCCTTCATCTTACTTATTTACGCCCCGCTCTTGGCGCTGTAGAATCATTTCCTCGAATCTTCGACCGGGCGAACGGTGCCCAGTTCGACTATGTAATCAACTGCGGGGGTGAGTCCCGCATGTCTCAACCAGAAGACGTATACCGATTGCGAAGTCATGCCCTCTCAGTTGCCCTAGGCAAAGAGGCTGCCCGTCGAGGAGTTCGTGCATTTATCGAATGCTCCACAGCCACCGTGTACAAAAGTGACCGCGAGCCGTGCAAGGAAGATGCAAAGATTAAGCCATGGTTCGCATTGTCGAAATGGAAATACCAGGCAGAGGAAGACCTGCGGAAAATCCCTGGCTTGAATCTTTGCATTCTCAGATTCCCGCATGTCTACGGGGAGTATGACAGGGGTTTGTTGACCACGGTCATTTGCATGGGAAGGGCATACATGGAGCTGAACAAACCAATCTCCTTTCTAAAGACCGGAAGTCAACCCATGAACACAGTGTACGTCAAAGATGCAGCCCGCGCATTGTGGAGAGCTGCAGAGTGGCGAGCAAACAAAGGTCCCAGTTCAAGCGGCGATCCGGTCGTTTTCAACATTGTAGACCACAACAATACCACAAAGGGTGATCTTGCCGAAGGTCTCAAAAAGGCCTTTGGCATCGAGTACTCCTTTGTCGGCACGATGATTACTCAAGTGGTGAACTTGAATCTAGATGAAATCATCGATGAAATGAACGAGGAATGTCTACAAATATGGGCAGAGCTTCTGAATGAAAAACAGATCGAAAGACCGGGACCGATAAGTCCCTTCCTAGAGCGGGATGCTATCAAGGATGGCGACCTCTTAATTGACGGATCACTATTCGAGCAGACGACCGGTTTTACGTACGAAAGACCAACACTTGCTAAAGATTGGATCCAACCTGTCGTCGAAAGCTTCAAGCGACTGGGATGGTGGCCTTAAGCTCCAGAACTTTGTTTTTGTTTTGAATCATTTAAAAATCAAAATATCAAAATATCCATGTTTCGGAAACATTTGACTTTCGTGAGGGGCGAACCATTCTATCGCATTTACGGTTCGGCAAACGATAAAGCCATATACTTTTTTAGTTCTTTTCTTCTCGCCTTTTTTCTCTTCAAAAACATTTAGGGAAATAAACAAAAGTGTCCCTCCAGAAATTCATTTTCATATTTTTCCCTTTTAATTTTGATCACTCTTTCGACGTGGGGAGGCAATTTCTTTCCTCCTTTTTTTTTTGGTGCAGCTTTCTGCCCATACAATATTATAATCGCGATAAGTATTTCCGGGGCATTCCTTTTGAGCACATCGTCGAACTACAGGCTACCTACAGGTCTAGTCCATGTGTGTTTTCTTCTTTTTCCTCCTGATTTTGCACCATCATCACTCAGTATTGTAATATAATGCATATATATATGTCTGTTTTACTGCGTTTTATTAATATTTTTTTACCTATCATTATTATTATTATTATTATTATTATTATTATTAAGTATTCCACTATTGTTCTCAATATTTCCATCTTGCCCCCCTATCACTCTCACCGACGATCAAGTGCATCGTTTCTGGAATCTATTTAGGTCTTGTCATTACCTCAAGCGCAATCGGCGTCACGCTCTGAAAACGATGAAGAAACTGCGAACACTCTACGTCCAAAAGAGAAATCACAGCAGAAATGTGCAACTTGCTCTCTTGCATTTATATCTGCGGTCATATCACTCTTCTCTCAAAATATCCGACATGGTGCTCAAATGCCAAGCGGGGGCACATATGTTCATACAAAGGAGATGAAACTTTGCTTATCCTATCGATCTCTTTTGTATTCTGTGCAACAGGCGTTATGGCACCGTAGTCAAGAGGAGGAAAGTTGCAGTAGAGAAGGAATTGAGACTGAGAAGTCGAGCTCAATATAGGAGCCGCTTAAACTTTCGCTTTTTAAGTGACATATTTAAATCTCTCTTCCTAAGTCACTTTTCCTTTCTTTCACGTTGTGTCTCAACTCCCACCTTTCCACCGCTCTTGACACATTCTCACATATTGATGATATCGCTATATCTATGTATTGCATCCCATATCTTTCTCTCCGCTCCAATCTTCTTTTTCGGTTTATGCTTGATTTGTGAATGCTGATGTTCCATTTTGAGCTAGCCCAAAAGTTGAGTTAAATTGGAGCTGTGATTCTGGGATTAGTAGAAGCACGCAGAGGAGAGAGGCGAATGGAGGCGAAGATGAAGATGGATGGGGTACGCCTCCGGATTATATCCTAGTTGACCTTGGCTAGTTATTGGATTCGTTGTCCCAAGAAATAGTTATCGAGGGTTTTTTCCACCAAAATTGCTCATCGACAATCATTTCAGCTTCGGGTTGATTTCAGAGGAACATGTTTTTCGCGATTCGAGATGGGATCCTGCAGAAGGACGAGTCGAGGACGCAGGTTACAGGTGTGGAACGCGGCGGAACCCGTCTAGCCCCTCTTCCTATGCCAAATTAAATCCAATTCCACAGCAACTGCCTGAAAATGTTGTATTTCAGCAATGAATATTCACGGCGGTTTTCCGGTTACTGACGAATGAGGCTGTAGGATAGTGAAGAGCGATGCGATACCGTGAGAAAAGTTTGCGCAACCTATCAGAATATGATTTATAGCCCATATATATTTCAGTAAGTATGGTGTGGCCCGATTGCCCTCGCTGTCCTACAAACTATACCTGGTGGTGACAGTTTCGCGGTGATTTCACCTCTTAACATTCAATGTTGTTCACCCTGAAAACTCAAGTTTGTTATTCATCTGGTGTTGCTTGCTGCCTGTTCAAGCCCAAGACCTAAGGATAACCATGGAGATATACACTAAAGAGACGCTCTTCACAGTTAATTTTTCTCCCTGATGTGACGTCTCGAGGTCCTTGAATTGCTGCATTTTATCCAATGACCTTCCGTCAATTTTCGAGGTTCGTATTGATAGGCTACATCTCTACTGAGTTTCTCTCTTCATGGTAATGCTGAATCCTTAACTAAAATATTAGGAGAATCCTGGGGTTTCAAACTCGAAGGACATCCCTCCACGCCACATCCGGATAGTTGGTGATACTGATGCTTTCAATGCGATTCGCGTTATCAAGAACCGGCCTATGGAGTTGCGGATTGGGCAAGAAATGTCCTCGTCGGATGGCCCTGAATCATCGGCACGAACTTTAAAATATGGTAGATTCTTCATAAATAGTGAGTTCTACTTTCAGTTACATAGTTTTGGATTTTGTACCTCCCCTTTCCTCTTGCCCCTCGATCCATGTTCTCTCAGCTGTTTAGAATAGCTGTGCTGTTGGACGGTGACTGTCAATCTTTTGACTTCCTTTGCGTTGGAGTGACCAATATATATAGCCTTGAGCGATCTCAATTCTATGTGACAGCAGAATTCAGAAAGGGAACCGACAATTTCGAGCATCAGGGTACATTTTTTACACCTGTAACAACTGTATTTCCCCTTTGACCACCGCATTTTCTTCTATCCGGAGCCGTCAATCCACACCGGCAATTATGACGCAAGTGGAGCTTGGTGAACCCCAGGCATACACTGCCCTAACTTCTTCGGAGAGCCGGACTCTTTCGGGAGGATCCGAGCAGTTTTGATTCGATTATGTGTGACAATAAAAGGCGGAAAAGAGAGGAGGAGGAAACGGAGAAACAGGTCGACGCTGCCGGCCACAAACAAGCAACCGTCTCGATATCAATCTGAAGGTCGCGTTATGACCATCACGAACCGTTGTACCAGTCAACCAGAACCATCGTCGGCGAATCTAAATAAATTCTGGGTCTTCAATTTATCATTTACCTCACAGTGTCAACCCTCGTATACTTGTATCTTCAAGACAGCTAGCTCCTTAGTACACATTTCGCCTCTCATCTCCTATCCCATTTTTTAACTCAATCTCACGACAGTGTGATCGCCACGGAGCTGATACCTCCTGACTATGATTTAATGGTCACAAGGCCCATGGCTTCATATAATCTACCCCATCTATCTGGTGCGACAGTGATGTGACGTCCTCATGGAGGCCATATCTATGAGAGAGCGGCTGCAGCAATTCGCTGTTATCAGCAACTTCCATGTGTTTTTAAATCCAGCTAACCAACCAAATCCGGCATCGGTCATGGGAGCCGATCAACAGTTGTAAACTATAACTAAAGCCTAGCTATAACTAAAGCCTAGCTATTCAAGATTGAAATAAATCACTTTTTGAGGTGGAAAATCTGGATCGAGAGCTCTCAAAGCCGCGATTAGCAGAGGACGAGGTATATATATACCAAGATTCCCCTTTTCACCTAGGCTGGCTTAAACTTTCAAAATCTCAAAATTATCGGTTTGGTTGTTTACCTTCTATCTCTGGCATATCAACTTATTATGTCTTCTTTTGACAGAGTTCCCTTGGCTAATGGTCTCAACGGTAAACAGGAAGAGAACGCCATCGTTTTCCCTGAGCAATATGACCTTCCCACATGCTCAGCACGGCAGAAGCTATCCCGTTGGATATGAATGTGCCAAGACTCTACGGTGTACGCTGGATCCTATGTTTCTCTCTCCTTGCTAATGTTGACAAAGCTCAAATGTGAGGATAGGCCTGCATAGTTGAGCGGTGGCATCTATTGAGACATGGTTTTAACGGATTCCTTTTCGTCTAGATATGAGGGTCTAAAACTCGGTCTGGCGCATACTATTTATGCCATTCCCTGGATTGCTGGTAACGTGGTGGGTATCCTTTTAACATGGTTGCACATGCAGGGACCAGAGTACGAAAGTTGATCCAAAGGGCATTAGAAGCCAGGTTGTAGATGGGTCTGGGGGAGTTAAATTTCTGTACCACATCTCGCCCCAATCGCCTTGAGTTGCCACTCCAGCTAATCTCTCCCTAGCTCTAAAGATCTCAGCGGGATCCTACCATCGTATGCGGAGTTGCAAAATAAACATTTCCCGCTTTCCAAATTCCAAACCGCTCAATTGGCCACTGTAGCTGTCATACCTGAACCGCCTCAGTCCGTTCTGGCAACGCAAGCGAATTTCATTGAAGAGGGGCCTTCTCCTAACCATTTGTGTTCACCACTCTATTTGCGAGGGTTTAGCTGTTGATACAATACTCGATACCTGGGCATATAACACATCTATCTTCAAGCGATGGCTCCACCTCGTTTAGTGTCTATGACCCGATTTCTAAAGACCGTACACCCCTAATGACAGGCTATCCAGTGGCGGATTTGGCCAGATTTTCAGAGTACGTTGTCAAGCCCACACCCCCACCTGTTGTTGTAGATGCAAATGCATACAAAGTAGTCCGCAAACTCACCAATAAGCCCCCAATGACATCCCGCATCTTCTATTTCTCACTTGCATCACTCAAAACCCAAGAACCGCTGCATCCGCCTTCTCCACAAACGACGCCCTGTGTGCATTCCTTTGGCAGCGTATGACTCGGGCACGAAACCCTACTGAGGTGGAAGAGGTAGATATAAACGGAAATAGTAAAATAAAACTAAAAATGTCATCCCTTTTCTTCTCAGTTAACAGAAGGCGCCGTAGGAGCCCACCACTCCCACCCACCTACCTAGGCAACGTATTTCTGGCCGTGACCACGGAACGGCTTCCCATTTCCATTCTCACTGCTACTGATTCTGATTCTGGGCTCTGTCGCGCTGCAGCTACCATACGCAGATCGCTGAATACCATAAATTCCCCAAACCGCGTGCCGCTGGAGATTGGTCTTGTCGACTCGCAGCCGAATCCCACTGATTACAAGGTCGCATATAGTGGCTTCCTTGGTCCGGATATCTCTGCGACGTCATAGGTGGACCTTGGGATTTATAGGCGCAGGTGGGGTCGTTTATTGGGCAAGGTGGAGTGTTTCAGGGTGCATGGGGACGGGGGAATGGTTAAATTTGCCATCTTTCCCAGGACGAATGACGGTGGTTTGGAGGTTATGGTCGGATTGGAGAATGAAGCTATGGAACGGCTAATGAGCGATGTGAATTTCATTGAGAGTGCGGAATCAAGGGAATAGACATGTGCGTAATTAGGTCTTTTTATTATATGTGATGACAGTGCGCAAAAATTGGTTTTAAGGATCTCAGACGACATATTCTTTTATATGAAGGTTTGATAATCTGTTCGAAACCCCAAGCCTTCAACCAGATTTCGCCTTACTCATAATTTGCTATTTAGTTTAGCAATTGAAGGGTCCTTTCTAACCGGTGACCTCAAGCTATAGCACTTTATATTTATGTGATGGTGTGGATGGATTGACAGCCAGAAGAAAAGGGTTTATAAAGAGTGCACATGCGACCAACTCGCAAAGTACATATATTAGTAATCCCTATTCAAGGAGTTAAATTCCACTCGAAATCTTGCCTAATCAAGAAGACACTAGAGGGTAGGGGCAAGAAAGAAGTATAGGACAGGAAAAAGGAGCCTTTTAAGATTCAAAAAGGGTTTGTTGGTGTCCCGGGCAAAAGAAAAAGTCAAATACTCCAGAAACCACCAACGACAGGTCAAAGTAAGAGAATAGAATTATGCCCCATACCGCGAGATGTGCAACTGATAGACACGAACAACGTACAGATGTAGTAATAACAACTCAAGAGAATTATAATAAAGAAGCAAACGCCAGCAACATAACAGTCAACTGCTTGGTTGACAGCGGGGGATAGAAAGCGGAGTCCTTACCTTTCTCTAAAAAATCCTTAATCAAAAATACATATAACCAGACAGGAAATTCTCTTTTCTAAGGTTCTAATTATTAAAACTCCCAATTTTCGTCCACGGACTTAATCGCCCAATCAAACTTTTCACGCAAGGTCTTCGAGAAGAACTTTTCCATGGGGACATTGAATTTCCTCGAAAATACCACGGTGAGACGAGGGTCGATATAATTCTTGTCAAAGGTTAAGAATATGTATTGTACGGTAAGGTACGAGAGAAAAAACGCAAAATAGTTTGAAAAACTTACAATTTTGGAAGTACCCAAGGCTACTTCTTTGTTGTTTTCCTTGTCCTCAGCCTGAAGGGACATATTTTCGATACGCTGTCCAAGCTTCAGGAGCTGGTTCTCCAGCTTCTCGACAGTGACTCCCTTTCCCTCCGGTACAACCTTTTTAGACTTGTTTTCCTTCTTGAACTTGGCTTCTAACTCATTCGCGGCTTCAAGGCGTTCCTCGAGCTCCTTTGCTTTCATTTCTTTCTCGCCTTCAGCAACGCGCTTCTCATTGTCTTTCTCGAACTTCTTTTTGATCTTTTGCCGCTGCTCTTCGACGAGGAAAGCTTGATGCTCTCTGATCCATTCTTGATCTAAACTTTCGTCAAGTTCAAAGTAGGCAGCGCCCTTCTTCTTCTTTAGCTTCGGGTCGAGGTCTAACATCATCTGCTTAAGGCGCCATTGTTGATACTTCAAACCTTTGATCTACAAATTGTTAGCCAAAGGACATTTTGGTTCCAAGTTGGTTGCGAACACACCCTATCACCAAGCTTTTCCATTTGAGTTGAATGGCTGGCGGTAACGGTACGCTTATGGTTACAAAGAATGGCAACTTGTCTATTCGCATCGTTGTAATCTTTAATCTTCTCTGCGATCGTGCCAGTTGACTTCATTCCTTTAAGAAGTGTAGCCATGGTGTAAGACGCGTTGTATGTACGGAACACCTTCGCGGTAAGACCCGGCATATAGTTGGAAAGATGCTTATTGAGCGCGGAAGTCTGAAGAAAATGTTAAATACAAGCTTTGAAAAATCGACGTTTGGGTACTTACCGTTAAGCGGTCGAATATTTCATCCCCTTCTTTCTTTGGTGGCTTCTTAAAAATTTTGAGGTTTTTGAAAACCTGAGGGTCAACTTCTACTTCATCATAGTACCGGATACTATCCTTGCCCAAAAAGTCGAAAATAACTGTATTTGGAGGTTTCAAGGTGACATGCTCATATTTCAGAGAGCAACAGCCAACAGTATCAGCCTCGTCTTCTCCTTTCTCATTTCCGGCACGAAGAGCGAACTGATCGATAAGGTAGACAGCCGTAGCTTTCTGGCGTTCCGCCATAAGCTCTTGTTTTAGGCCCTTCTTGTAGTCACTACGTATCCGATCAATGTGTTTCTAGAGGTAAATGTTAGTAACAAGATGCAAAAGATGGGGCGAGAATAATTTTGTTAATAACATACTTTGAGTTCCCTGGCCTTTTCGAACTTCTTGTAATCACTCTGGCCTTTGATATCGGAATTTGCCGCAAGCATGACATATTTGTAGTTGCCGTTGATATTTTCCTGCCACATAGCTAGCCAAGTACCTTCTTGATCATGCTTAACTTCCTTCCACTTATGGCCTGCGGGTGGTGTTGGGACTTTGGCCTCTTTTCCAATGTTGATAGTGATTTGCTCCGGCATAACTCTAGTCTTCACTTTTCCAGTTTTGGGATGTTCTCCACGACCGCGAAATAGGGCAGGAGGTTCGACGCGGAAATTTCCAACTTTCTGCTTCCTACCATCCCACATACAATACATGTATGGAGCTTCAAGCTCGTCCTTCTCAGCCTTAAGTCTTTTCTTTTCTGCGGCAGGCAGTGCTTTTTTCTCTAAACGAGCTGCTTCGTAGAACTCGAAGATCGGTTTGAAGTCACACTTATCAAACGAATTTATTGCCACTGAGTTTCCGTTCGGGTCCTTCGCACCGCCAGACTTCTTGACGTAGGCAGTGAAGTCATTGAAGAAATTTTTCTGGAACGTCGGGTTCTCAACGTTGTGGGTGGAGTTAAGCATGGAACCGAAGAACCCGGCAACTTCTTCAGCTTCTGGGGCTAGAGTTATTGGAACGCCATCGTACTTCATCTTGACATGCTTAGGCAGTGGCTCGTATGGAGGGGGAAATATGACACCGTTATGTTCCAGAGTTGTCCACTTGATAGTGCCATCTCCTTTGGTTGGATCCTCCCACCAACGATATTCCTCCTCTCCCTCCTCCGCCTCCACGTCAGCGTCGGCTTCTTCGCTAGATTCCTTCTTTGTCTTGGCTTTAGATATTTTCGCGTCCGTAGACTCTGCTTTAACTTTCGTAGACTTCTTTGCGGGCACTTTACGGGACAGTGGAACGTCTTCATCACTAGATTCCGACTTTTTAATGCCGTTTGCCAGTGTCTTTTTGCCTTTTGTAGTTTGAGCTTTTGTCTTTGTCTTTGCCTTTGCTGCTGCAACGCTTTCCTTTTTGCGAATCGCTTTTGCTTCCTTCCGAGCACGTTCTTCAATCTTAGCTTTCTCTGCGATTAGACTTTTCCTTATGGGAGCATCCGAGTCAGACTGCTCTTCTGCGGCTGCTTTCGCTGCTGCTTTCCCTTTAGCAGATTTGGATATGATGGGGGCATCATCAGAATTGGAATCTTCTTCTTTGAGCTGCGTTGAAGTGCGACGTCGCTTGCTCTATCGGAAAGAGTCAGTCGTGGTCTGCCAAAATTAAACCCAATTTTCGGCGTGGGAGAGAGGGTGGGGGGGAAGTCGTTGGTTCATTGAATAGTAGTATGGCGTACTAATGGCTTATCCTCCTCACTGCTCTCCGGCTCAGCATATGATTTCCGAACTCCGTCAGCTCTTGTCTTTCTCTTGCTTGCACTGGATCCGTTCACGTCGACATCTCGCATTTCGACGTCGTCAGGTTCGACGGTTCCATGGCGAATGGATAAGCCAGGCTGCACGTATCCATTTGCTTTCGGGGAGTGGCTAACGGATGGATCAGTGGACTTCGAAATCAGCTCATCTGAGAGCGCATGTGTCGCTGAACAGCTGTGCTATCAGTTAAAGCCCCAAGAAGAAAAAAAAGGAAATGGATTGGTAGTAAAGTGGCGATCTATGTGTGAGGTGGTGTGAAGTGGTGTGTTTAGTTAAAAGGCTCCAAAACTGACCTGTAGTGTGTCCGTTGGACTGCCTCTTGCCAACAAGAGGCACATCTTCATCCGAGGAACTCATGACTCGCAAATGAGCCACGTACGAAGCCTTCTGACGGGATAAGCAGTGGTGTATATGCGAGAAATTCGGGGGCAATAGAGAGCCACGTAGATGCCTTGCCGGGCAGTGGAGGCACGAGGCCGAGAACAGGGTGACAAAGGGGCGAGCAATTGTGAAAAGATAGGGTGCAAGGGGGTCTGTGAGGAACAGGAGAGGTGGTGAGGTATGCGCTGATAAAGGGTAGCTGGGAAATGGGAGCTGGGGCACGGTGGAGTGTGTAGAGGTGAGGTGAGGTTGAAGAGAAAAGGCAGGACTTGTCCTGGGCGAGGTTTGGAGTTGGAAGAAGGAAGGTTTTAAAAGAGGCTGAGGGTGCCGGCTTCTGATTGGCGGAAGGATTCTTCTCAGTCCAAGACGCCGCTAGTCCCGTTTTGGTATAGCACGGTTCCCTGTTCCGACGACCCAATTCATCCAGAAACACAACCAGCCAACATCACATCATGATTGTCTGGTATAGATAGATATTTGCCTGCTTCCAGTTGCCCTCCCACACGGCATCCGGTATATCAGTTTCAATTGCCAGGGCCCACACAGTCCTGACTATTGCCTATACGTCTCCTCTTCACGGCAATGCTCTCTCGAACCGCTCGTCCTGCCCTCCAGGCCGGCAGTGCTATTCTTGCACGGTAAGATTTTATCATCGCCTTAGTTCCTCCGCCACCTTCCCCCCATTCCCCCCAATTACAATTAGATTTGGCTATGACCATGTGGGGAGAGTTGCTCCTGGCCATTGGGGACAAGGTTGACTGACGTTGTTATTCCGCTCAAGAAGGAATGCACCCGCCAATGCCGCCAACTTTGCGACACTCCGTGAAATCGAGGGTCGGTTGAAGTCCATCAAGAACATCGAGAAGATCACCAACACAATGAAGATCGTTGCCTCCACCCGTCTCAACAAGGCCCAGAAAGCCATGAGTGATTCGCGCAGCTACGGCCAAACATCGAACGCCGTGTTCGAGAACGCCGAAACCAAACCCCTTGAGAATAAGAAGACTTTGTATGTCGTCGCTAGTTCGGATAAGGGTCTCTGTGGAGGAATTCACTCTGGCCTGAGCAAGGCTACAAGAAGGATGGTGCTTGAACAACCTGATGCCGATATTGTTGTCCTCGGAGAAAAGGCCAAGGCGCAACTCAGCAGAACCAATGAGAAGAATCTCGTGCTGAGCTTCGCAAATGTCGGAAAGGATATCCCAACGTTCGCCGATGCTCAAGCCATTGCGGACCAAATCGCCCAGCTCCCAACCGATTATGCCAGTATCAAGATTATCTACAACAAGTTCATCAACGCTCAGAGCTACGAGCCTGTTTTTATCGAAGCTTACTCGGAAGAGGCCATCACGCAATCTCGTGAGCGGAATCTGCACCCCAGCGTCTTCCCCCTTCCTCCACACACCCCAAGCAGCCCACTGAATGATAGTGTAGCGTGACATATTACTAATTTGCATATAGCAAACATATCTGCCTTCGAAATCGATGACGAAGCTCTTGCCAACCTCCGCGAATATGCTCTCGCCAACAGCTTGTTCTGGGCTCTGGCCGAAGGTCATGCCTGTGAAATCTCCGTAAGTGAATGACAGAATATAACACCCTTTTGAACTATAGAATGCGATTCACTAATTAAGTAACTTCTTAGGCTCGTCGCAATGCTATGGACGTATGTTTTCACTATATATAACATCCCAGTCCAATCGTCCCCTCTGTTTAGGATGAATTGCTAATTCAATATAATACAGAATGCATCCAAGAACGCTGGTGACATGATCCAACGGTATGTCAAGATGAAATTCTTAATCTCATTTACTTAATCTGTTAACTATTTCTAACCATTCCCTTACAGATTCCAGATCCTGTACAACAGACAGCGTCAAGCCGCCATTACCGGTGAACTGGTTGAGATTATCACCGGTGCCACTGCCAGTGAGGACATGTAAAAAGCCAGCGAACCACAGGGCCTGTCAGTGTATTCGAGACAAAAGGAAAAATGAATATGCCAGAATTTTCCTTGGTTTTTTTTTGGTAGAATTTTCTCACGCTTCCACTACCCCGGCTACGCTACTGTACCTAGATCCTTTGTTGAAAACTTGTAAAATCAATCACTTTTCTCTCATACTATTGTCAAGTTTCACTAGTACTTTAATCTTCTGTTAAATAACAACATTCCATATTTTCTCATATTTCTTTTTCATTTACTGCTGCTGCTGACAAACAGAGTTGCCTCTCTGTCACTTCTGCCATCAATCACATTGTCAAATGCTCACTTGGAGATTCAAATTAATGAGTTGTTTATTTTAAGTCTCTAATGTTTGATCAACTCTTGTTGATATTTATTCTCACTCATGAGATAGTTAGATGCTGGTTATCTCTTCATGAGGATAAAAAAGATTACACAAATCAATGTTCTATTCTACTTCAGCGAGAAGAGAGATGATTTACATCACACTCACAATCATTATTATCAGAAACAACATGACACAACATGTAACACAGCTTAATTATTAAGAAAAAAATGCAGATAGTTTCTGCAATCAGATGAAATTTGATATCAGGGAAGTGTTTCAAATCTTTTTGTTTTAAATGAATTTTGCATGATTGACTCAGAGGTATGAACAATCAGAGTCAATTGATATTCTGTGAAAGCTCCCCTCCTTTTAAACCACCATGTCTGTTAATTTCATCTGTGGGCCTTTTGGGACTTCTACATGGTGGTATACTCCCTTACAACAAAGGACCAATATTTCAATGCAGCTAAAACTGGTTGGTGGCGATTTATCCAAACTCCGCATACCCGTCCAGTTGCAATTTTACCAAGACGCAGGACGGATTTCCTAGGCATGGTGATTAACATATCAAAGTATGCAGGTATCTTTGGTTCGAAAGTGCATTATACGGGTGTGTCAAAGTTAACCTTCGTGAAAGAGCAAAGGTTCAAGCTATCCGCGATCTTTAACGATCGAACCGCGAGATAACAAATTCATGGTGGTCATTATCTCCAATGACAAAACGCCAATCTCCGCACATCTGGCCTTTCCACTCGATTTCTTATGCGAAACTTTGATCAAGTAAGAACGATATGCCCGGCCCATGAATCGTAGCTTTGCATGGCGGGCAATGCCTTGAACCTGATGGCTGATCGGGAGCCACACAGGCACTGCGAAATTAAGAGAAAAGACAATTTGTGATTCTTCATTGTTGGCTCCCGAGACACATGAACACCAGTAGCATGGACACTCTAATGGAGCTCGCTCTTCTGCAAGGGGGTATTACCGCCGTATTCACGAAAACGCAAATCAGAGTCAAACCGCCATCTTGGGCCTGGCCGAGAAAGGAGATACTGGCAATTAGGGGATACGGGGGTTACCAAACTGTAGGGGCAAGGGCAACTGGGAGGTTCCTGTGGAGACATTCACTCTCTCAATTATATTAAATACGCCAGGTTCACTAGTTATCAACGTCCAATCTTATCAGTTTTGATCCCCCCCGGCCCCCGTTGGCGAATGGAGGGAAAATCCAAGGACCGAAAACTAAATCCCGCCACTTCGAAGAGGGGCTGAAGGGTCTGTTGATGGCGTATACTCTGATGATTTTGATATGTCCCAACACAAACAAAGACTCGATGGGCAACATCCTCGTCAGAGGTGTGTATAAGCTTCGGGTTCGCTTGCCAAGTATATACAGCATAATGAGTCCCATTATGTGAGGCGTAGAATCCGTCCCAATGACCTAGAGGGCGGCCGAAGAAGATAATCTTCCATTCCATTGCGGAAAGAAATGTCCCAAACCGCCGTTTGGGGACCAAAGATGACCGGCGGGATGAGTCAGCAGATCATCATCACGTGGCGATGCGGAGAGCGCTACTTTCGCCCAAAACAGCAACTGGACACCTTGCGCCAAGGGGAAGGAGACCGGGACGGGCATGAAATACGTGCGCACGGTGGTTCAAGGAACGGGGGCGGATATTTAAAAGAACTCACTCCCTCTCACTCTCTGGCTAGTTATAGAGTATTCTTGCTTGCTGACATTGACATGAGCTTTGTATTGCGTTTATGAACTTATCTCCTTTCGTAACCCCCCGTGCGATCGCTAGCCACTGTTGCATTTCATCCAGCTCTTCCACCATGCCCAAGAAGAGCTCCGCCATTCTGCTAATTGCAGCTTTTTGGCAGACACTACTCGTAAATGTCGACGGTCTTTATACCAAAAACTCTCCAGTCCTCCAAGTTGACAGTAGCAAATATGACCATTTGATTGCGCGGTCAAATCAGTTATCTGTAAGTGCTTCACTGGCCTCGGTATCAAGTATGATTGAAAACCATAAAAACGTGAAAATTGACATATTCTCTAGATTGTAGAGTAAGGTTCTTCCCCTTAGCGTTGCCAACGAGCTTGTATCTGATTGACTTCACCTATTTCAGATTCTACGCTCCATGGTGTGGACACTGTCAGAACTTGAAACCTGTATACGAAAAGGTTGCCAAGCACCTTGATGGGCTGGCACAAGTTGCCGCTGTTAATTGCGATGACGACTTGAACAAACCCATCTGTGGCCAGATGGGAATCCGGGGATTCCCTACTCTTAAAGTCATAACCCCGTCGAAAAAGCCCGGAAACCCACGAGTTGAAGATTATAACGGTGCGAGAACGGCTAAAGCTATAGTTGAATATATGGTGGATAAGATACCAAATCATGTAAAAAAGATTACAGACAAGGAGTTCGATGGTTGGCTAAAGGAAGCAAATGACACTGCAAAAGCTATTCTGTTCACAGAGAAACCCGCGACCAGTGCACTTCTCCGGGCGTTAGCTATCGACTATCTAGGGTCAATTAATTTCGCACAGATTCGAAACAAAGAGACTTCAGCGGTACAAACCTTTGGTATCAAAAAGTTTCCGACCATTGTGCTTCTCCCAGGTGGAGGAAAAGAAGCTATTTCCTACGGTGGAGAGTTAAAAAAGAATCCGATATCTGATTTTCTCGGTCAGGTAGCTAAAGCCAGCACAGATCCAAAACCCAGCAAATCTACAGCGTCCACTACCTCCGAGGCCACCGAATCTCCAGAGACCAGTTCCAGATCTGTCTCTCCTTTACCATCCAAGGCCCCTGCTCTAAACATCCTATCCACAACCTCAGACCTTAGAAAGGTGTGTCTCGCCCCAAAGACGGGAACTTGTGTCCTCGTCCTCGGAAAAATGCCAGAATCATTGGATTCAGAACCTCCAGCTGGAGCATTTCAGGCATTCACCGGCCTCGCCGAGATCTCCCATAAACATTCATTGAGAAAGGGACACCTGTTCCCCTTTTACGCTGTTCCAGATACAGTAGAGGATGTTGGTGTATTAAGGAATAAGCTGGAGCTGAAGAAAGACAGCGTCATTGATGTCATCGCTTTGAATGCGAAACGCGGCTGGTGGCAACAATACGACCCGGGAGAGGAAGGCGACTTTAGCGCCGCCAAACTCGAAACATGGATTGACGCGATTCGTCTTGGAGAAGGAGCCAAAAAGAAGCTACCCGATGGCGTTGTGTTCGAGGAGCAAGAGAAAGTGACAGAGCCGACGAAAGAACCTGAGAAAGAGGCTGGGATGGAGCCCAAAGTTGAATCACCAAAAGAGCCAAAACAAAAACCTGTAAAGGAGGAACCAACCAGCCATAATGAGCTGTAACTATATTCTAGTACTTCAAAAAATTCAGAACCTTCTCTCCTTTTCTTGTCTTGCTATGCTCTATTTCGCTTATCCTGTTTCTTGGGTTGTTATTTGTTTAGCAAGGAGTTCTTGTACTTTATCCCCCACGCATGTTTCATTATATTTTCCTGTGCTTAACAAATCAATGAAATTTACTAATTTACAATTGAATTGACACTGGGATAGAGAACATATTCCCTATCATGATGACTTTATTAAATAGTAAAATGGCTTTAACTAGGAAATATAGCCAAGCACAATCTTGACAAATGCCAATTTACACACAAAAGAAATTCTTACACAGAGTATTTCCACGCTTTTCCCAACCCTCGCAAACTCCCCACCCACAAAGCAGAATAAATTCTAAAATTTACAAAGAGGGGGTAATCGGAGACAACAGCCAAGAAAAAAAGTCAGGGGAAAACACCACTTCATCTCATCCTTACTTCCTCCCCTTCTCTGTGCCCTTCTTAATCTTCTTCTCCCTCTTGCCTTCAATTTCCTTCTCGTAGATCTCTTTGGCCGACTCTCCCGCCTTGCGCTTCATGGGTTTCGATGACTTGACGCTCACGGTGGGTATATTGCCGTTCTTACCAGCGGAGGCGCGGATTTGCTTTTCCGCATCTTCCCAGGCAGCGGCTCCGTTGGCGATTTCGTATCTGTATCATTAGAGAAAAAGGGAGCCGGAGTTAGTTACATAATATGATGGGTTAAGCAAACGTTTTTGAGGTAAGGAAGAAGCGATGCGCAGCAAGTATTTGGAAGAGAAAGAGCCTAGCTTACTGCTCCAAAGGCAACGCATCAATAAGAGCGCGTTGTTTTTCTCTCAACTCTTTAGTAACCTCCTCACCTCCTTCTCTTAGCTCCTCATCGAGCCCAACATCCAGAGGCTGGAATCGATCATCGATAACTTCATCATCATGAACGTCCGTAGCGTCCTTCGGAGAAACACCAATTTCCGCAGGCGGCAAAGTCTCCGCCACAGCACCTTCGACTAGAATCCTGAAATGCGCAGAAACTTTCCTGACAATCTTTACAAACATGGCCATCAGCTGGGATGCGGCAACTTTAAGTTCCTTCTCAACATCGTCAAAGGATTTTCGCTGTAAGCCTATAGCCAACAGGATTGACTGCTGAACTCCGGAAAGATTCACGCCGCTCCCCAAGCGGCCAGAGAAATAGAATTCCGCGATCGTTGGGACCATGTCGAGGATCACGTGGTAATCGAGCAGATTGTTTGCGTAGCTGTCTAAACGTTTTAGGTCAAAGGGAGAGAATGAAGCGTCCAGGTCTGCTTTTGTAAGGGTGAAAGGTGTGTAAGATGGGTCGGACTTCGAGGCTGCACCGGTGGATTCGCCGATGCTGAGGGAGAGTACGGATGGGAAGTCGTGGAATTGATAAGATAGGAGGGCAAGAAAGCGTTTGTGGAAATCCCGTGCGTAAGCTCCAAGCCAGCTGGTGTCATTGCTGCCTGCAGATAGGGCACGGAGCATGACACAGGAGTGTTCGCCGGTAAGTTCGTTGGGGGTTTGTCTCAAATAAACTGGAGTGAAGCGAGAGCGTTTCCAGAATTTATGAAGCTGAGGGGTTAGGCCGTAGCTGACGCCCAGGTAGTCAAGGGAGTCTGGGCGCCGTTCGTTGAGTCTAGCAAAGAGAGGTGGCATGGAATGTATGTCTCGAATACGAATATTATCATCCAACAAACTTGAATTTGCTAATTCCTCATCCGTTACCCTGACCAATTCATCGGAGGGGAAATTATCCTCCTCTGACAAGCTTGCAAATTTGCCTTCGAAGAAATCGGTCAGTAGTTCGACAGCGCGTGAGCCGTAGCCCATGCCCAGATAATCTGGGTTCGTAGCTATTCGCACGATCCTTGCACCGGAGAGTCCCGCAAACTCTTCGTCTTGGAACTGTTGACTAACAAGCCAGGGGATTAGATCTCCTCCCGCTCGTTGCCCACGGCTAAGGCCATGTAGCACGCTCTGCTTGCTTATTCGACCTTCCAGAGCCACCTGGATTACACAGAGCGGTTCAGGTACCTTGTTGGGGTCAGTTGGTGGTACCAACACATATAGTTGATGCGCTGGTGCGTCACTCATGAGCTGAAGATCATTTGGCGAATTTTTGTAGTGGCTAGCCACATACAACGCCATCATCTGCTGCAAAAGCTTTTCGGGAAGCGGGTGGAACGAAAAGAGAACGTCACGGTTAACATGAAGAAGCTCGCATTGTGATGGGTGAGGACATCCCTGGGTATTCGCTTTGGATTTAGGAAGGGTTGCGTCGAGGCAGAGGAGCTTATTCATCCATTTCTCCACTGAATCTCCAGGCGCATATCGGATGGGTTCCGAAAGAGTGATCTCTCGCAGTGAACGGCCACCCGAAAAGTCCTTTTCTCCATGCTTCACAGATTTTCCCGCCGCCCGGTCAACAATGTCTGTATCATCTGTAGTTTTCGTTCCACCTGTTGACTGCTCCCGAAGTTGTTGAATCAGTTTCAAAGACAGAGATCTTCCAGTTCCTTCATATCCGTTGATGGTGGACGCCATAAATACCAAATACGGACCCATTAGCTTTCTCACTAATGGTAAGGGTATGGCAGCAGCCTCATCAATTACCAAAAGTTCTGCTTGTCCAAGAGCAAAGGCATCTTGGGGTTTGATGTATTGAATTGTTTGCCTGTGTTGGCGGTGAACATTAACACGAACAATAGCTTTGTTGAAATCGGGGTTCGTTGACTGAAGAATTGTGTAATCAACATGATCCAGGTATCCTAGAGCGTCAAAGCCCTTGAAGACAAATTCAAACAAAGTTTTCAAATTCTCTGGGCTTGGAGAAGTAATGAATATATTGCTATAGCCGTACGCAATCGCCGCAGCAATGGCAACACCAAGGGCAGCGGATTTTCCACGACCACGGGCAGCAGTTAAGGTAACAGTACTTCTCAGAGTCTTCTCTGCTATGGCATCAACAAACGTGAGAAGCGCTCTTGCCTGGTCCACCGTCTTCGCCAATGTGACCAAGGACCCAACAGGTTCTGTATCTGCCAGCTTATCCTTGATCTCCTTTAGTTCCTTCTTCGTCGGGTCCATAGACTCGTTGCTTGGGTCAATTGGAGCCAGCGGTTCCACATATTTACCACCCGAGATTGGCAAAACGTTCAGCTCATCATCTATTACCAAGCAAGTTTTGCAGCTTCCCAGAGATAGGATAAAGCGCTCGTTGAACCGTGCGACTACATCGTCATGAGCCTCGGTCCGGTATCTGGAATGAACATCCATAGATAAGGTGTAAAGCTGTTTTAGACTCTTCATTCCCTTCAATAAGAGAATGAGCAGTCCTCCACCTTGGACAGTTTCAACGGTGCGCGCTAACAGATTGGGTGTGAGCGCCTCGAAGTCCTGCAACACACACATCCCATATGTGTTTCCCAGGATTTTGTCCGTCTCCTTGTAATAGACATATCGAATCTGCTGGAGTGTGATGAACAGCTCGAACGGATCCTCGGTATTTGGGTCCCGTATTCCTCTTTTGATTTCCTTCTTAATCTTGGCCTCGCGCTTCTTGCGATGGCTGGTAAACCCAAGCAGATCCTTCTTATATGCCCATAAAACCGATTTATTCTGCTTAACGTCGACGCTGCACATTATGTGGTGGAGGTGGACAATGACATCTTTAGCGCGGTCACCGACGATCACGAAGAAGCTCCTTTTCTTCTCCTGAATGCCATTTCTAATCAGGGAGGTGATCCGGGAATCGATCGATTTTCGTGGCATGGTTTCGACAGTGCACTGGCGGAGGTAGGATGGACGACCCCAACGGTGACAAGCGCGGCCAAATTTCTTTTGGCTGCAAATGCAAATTCAGCACATTGGCAGAGAAGGGGTTACAATACGAATATGAATTGGACGCCGGATATCCGTACGAACTTCAACAGCTGGCATTAGAGACATAAGCTAGGGCACCCAGATCCCGCGCGAAAGCTACTGTCTGTTTAAACCACCCATACGCTTTGATGTTGCTCCGTTGACCGTAAATGACAAAAATATAAATTTTTTAAAAAAAAAAAAAAAAACCGTTTTGGTCTCGGGTATAATTTACCTGTTCTCGACCGCTACTGAAAAACGGAATTCTTGCCGAGTAACACCAAAGTTGATGTTGTCACGTGATCCCTTGCTTGGTCTTTCTTGGGTAATCTTCCAAGATCTTTTAAAGATTCTTCCAAGATAAAGATAGGCGGGGAGGACAGATTAACCGTATACGGCGAGGGCAAGTCCTTGCAACATTTTTGAAGGGCAGAGCAAAGGGTATTTTGGCGATGGATGATCGAGATGGCGACAAAACTTCACAGGTTGCTAATTTAATTTATGTTCTAAACGCGCAACAGAACAGGGGCTTATGACGCTCTAAACCGAACAACAGAACAACAGAACTACATCATTCAACGGGATGAAGATGATCATATTCCCCCGCGAGTATGAAGGACATGTATATATATACTAGCAGGTAATTCATAGCGCCCAATCTCCTCTAACTTCCAGTATTTTGGTGCCCGGACTACCCTCCGCCGTAATTGTGGAGAAAAGTGATCTGGATGGGAAGATCGATAAAAGACTGACCGCAAACGTTGGTATTTGTTAATCGTGCCGCTGCGCAACCCACACCTCATGTGGGTGCACCATACCAAAACAATAAAAACACCAAAAAAACTCAAATTTCAAAATACTGCCTCTGTCATGAGAATTTGAGGTTCCTTATCAACATATCCAAGTGCATATCAATGGAAGGAATCTAAATACTGCAAAGATTCCAGTTAACAAGAAATTAAATAAGAGTCAGAAGGATGTAATTAAATGATAAGTCAAGCTGCTTGATGAAAAGAATTATCCTTCCACAACTGAATATATTGAAGATTTTGTGAATTTAATACTCAGATGCCAGTATTTAGATCCTACTACCTCCTCTTCAAAAGTCAACAAGATGTGAACTTATAGGTTCATTGAATGTCTACCTGAGTATAAAAGAGTGAAATAGAAGTCAATGAATTTAAAGAGAGTGACAGTTGAAGGTATTGAACATATCAATACATGATTTGAATATCTTCAAATTCTATTTGAGCAGTATCAATTTCATATCTGTGATATATATAACTTCAATAAGATTGAATTTCAATAAGGATAAGAATGTGGAGAATGAGTTATAACTACTTTTAAAGAAGTTAATTTCATCATTTCTTCATCCTTTTCAAGAGGTTTGATTACAGTCATTGAATATATATTCATGAATAATCATATTATTTTATCATTGATAATCTTGATCTTCAAAACACACTTGAAGAACTGATATACATAAATAGATTTACTTAGCAATTATAAAATTACTATATCAGATACTGAATTTACAAATGATGAGATTAAATTTGAATGACTTAAACATTTCAATACTACTATAGAAAAGAGATAAAAAGAAAATCATTAATTGCTTTTAATGAATAATCATAAATCTCACTTTACTGAGAAGTTTATACAATATACAGATTTTTATAAAATAATTTTATATAAATTTTTATCACATGTTACTCATTTGCTACAATCTCTAAATAGTCTATTATTTCAGCAATATAAGTAATATCATTCAAAAGCAATCAACTACACTGTATGTCATAATCTTATTAAGTATGAAAAATGACAGTTTCTACAAGATCTCTCAATTATGTAAAAGCAGATCTTTAAATCTGATACAATAGCTGCAAAATAAGCTCAACATGACATATATTCATGAAATTCTGACTAAGTTCTTGATGCTCTTAAGTAGTGAATCTCATCACCTGCTTCACTGCAGATTTATAAAGATGAAAATGATTCAAATTACATATCTATCTCTTCTTCTCAGCTATTCTCATCAAAGACAATTCAAAAGCTGAAACATCATATTAATATTGTAGAAAATGTCATACAAAGTATTAGAGACACTCTCAAATTGAAATCACTTATTTTAATATGTTGTTTGAACAAAATATTCAAAGCAAGTCTAATTTATGCAGAATTTAATGAGCAACAAATCACTGAATTAGAGAATTTTCTCAATGTCAGTAAACACTGCAGAGCTAAAACAATCTGTTGTCAGATTCAAGTAGAAATAGTTCTCACTATTAAAGATGTCAATAGAAAAATCAAGTAGCATAAGAATAATAAAGCTGAAAAAAAGCAGAATAAGAAGTGGCAGAGACTTGAAGTTGATCCCATGAAAATTGACACACTCACACCACTGACAGAAGAGGAATTAAATCAATTTAGAGATGACACACATACTGAGAGTGATGTAGATAATCTTTTTATTATAAATTAACTACTAATTATTGATATAGAGTGCAATAATAAGGATGTGATTTTAGATTTTTATCATTTTGGTGTGGCGGACCCACATGAGGTGTGGGTTACGCAGCGGCACGATTAGTAATATTCTTTCTCCCTTGGCAGAAAGCCACTTATCCAAGGATGGCTAACGGATAATCACCAATCAACGGTCAAAGTCTCACAACAGACCTGGCAAAGGCAAATCATGGCTATTCGAGGCTTCTGGTATGGTTTGTTGTTCTTTTAAGTAATAACTAATGGAATTGTAGAATCCTACGCCTGTCCCTTGGGTCAAACCCAAGAGTTTCCCAAGCACTTTATATATAGAGTAGCTGTCCATGGTTCCACGGCGCAGAGCACCGCTTATATTCTTATCTATTCTTTCTTCTATTCTTATTTTAATCCGCAACGTTTTTTGGATCTCCTCCCAGAAAACCCGCAAGTCTCCATTGCTCTGGGAGATAGTTAGATACATACTTGCACACTTATATCCTTGATCACGTGACATATATTCTACCATATCCTCGTTGTTCTCGTAGTTAGCAACCTTTGCAATTAATCAAGCTTGCCATTCTGTCATATACACCTACCGGCTGGGACCTGCATGGACCTGCATGGTTGCCGCCGTATGCATTGCCGTGGGTGATTGGTCAGTCCCCTGGATTCCATTCGCTTTTTGCCCACATTACCTAATAATAGCTCTACCCCCGCGCTTCACACGGGCATGCGAGCACAGAAATTGAGAAGAAGGAGAAAAAAAAATAAAAATAAAAATAAAAATAAAAATAAATAAATAAAAGGCCAGAGGGGTGGAAAGACATCCTTGCCGACTCTGATCGAATAAAAGGATGGACGTCAATGCGCGCGGGATGGTCCAGCGCATTGCATCAACGTATGTGGTACCCGGAGTGAAAATGACGGTCCTAATGCAGCCAGTGTGTTTGTCTTGAGCCGTTTTGCTATTATCCCTGTCTGCGGTCGGTACGTTTCATTCCTTTACGTTCGGCCGTGGTAGCTTCGGGCCGATTGGTAGATGCTAAAGAGGACGGCCATTAAACCAACGGGCTGCGAAAAAATAACAGATCGGCCTGTGCACACTACATTGACAGCATTCGTGCTGTCCTGAGTATTTCTCTCGGTCGAATTGCCCTCTTCTCCATCTCGAGACCTTGTTGTGGAGGATCATGATGATTCTTTGCAGCTTGCCGATTCCCTGCTGCGGACGTCAGCAGAAACAATCTTCAAGAGCTCTACCAAAATCACGTAGGCTCACAAGTGCGAAAGTACGGTGCACATCTTTGGTGCGGCACCAACAACCACACCTCAAATCCCGTTTCAATCCTGCTTCCCTCCTGGTCCTCATCCAAGGAGAACCCAACTTCCTGCAGATACATCAACATCCCAGCCTCGAGCGTCTCCACCACTCTCGATCTCCAAACTTCCGTCTTCCTCACAGACAAGGTAACCCGCTGCAGTATACAGGACTGCAATGCCCAAACAAGTGAATTCGGCTTAGGCCCCTCAATCGATCCCCAAGAACATTGGAAATACCGGTTCCTTATGGATGCTGACCGGGCCAGTTTCAGCGGGCGCTTCTTGCCATTTTTGCAAAGCAGGAACCTCCCGTTTCCGTTTCGCACCAGTTTGTTTCGCCAATGAATAGATAGGCGACTGACGCCGTGGCATCACTTTGTGCCGATTGATGTTCAATTGCACGGATTGTGGAATTCTCTGGCATATTTCTCTGGGGCAAGGATCGTGGATTCCAATGCTCCTGATGCTGGTACTGATGCTGGCCTGAATAACGAAAAAAGTAGTTGTGACATTACGAAAATTAAGAACGAAAATGCGGAGGAAAAATTATCAAAGACGACTATCAATACCAATCGCAACGGAGACGATGATTGCGATAATCACAAAATTCTGATGTATCCACATACTCGCAAAGGCGAATTTATAGCTGAAGAAGGCTGCAAACGGGCTGAAAAGGTGCTTAGGAAGGAAGATATGGAAATCTACATGTTTCGGCCGCTGTTGGAGTGGGAGCGGTTGACGGATGATAAGATGGAGTTGGGGTTTCAGATCTGATGATATTCGGATACCATTGGATTAAATTTTTAATATCTACACACGCGTGGCTTTGCAATTGATAAAAATAAAGATTTTAATGATTAATTGAAGATTTTCTTTCCATCAAGGTAAAGAGTTGGCATCTATCAAGAATGCTACCTAGCACAGATAACTGAATGACCAGAACACCTAACCAACATAGTGAGCATGACATAGAAAATGATGCATGAACTTCACCTGTCAATAAGCTGTCCACTCGCCAGCGATGCTTTACTTCTAGGTATTGACTTATGGCACAATTTTATTCAGTTTTCCCTTCCGTCACTTCCATTCTGAACTTCAAAAATCATTTGTCCATCTTTGGCATTTGTTGTCAGGGCGCTCTAATTGCTGCTGATTGCAAAGGGGTCTAGATATTAAGTATCCTGACAGGGGACGAAGCTTTTGTTTAAAATATTATTCATACTCCCTCTTTCTTTGACCAAAAAAGAAAGGCGCAGTCAAACATTGTACAAAGCATGAATAATATGTATATAAGGGTGCTATGTATGAACACAAAACGGGCCCTCGGAAGGCCGATTCCAGAAAGAAAAAAAGTAAAATGAGTCTCACATCAATTAGATGTACGCAGAACAAAAAATGGAGAACCAATCCACTACCGGTTTATTTACCTCTACTGATGGTGATGTCGTGCTGCATGCTGATTTATGTGCTCTTTTCTCTTCACCGCTCTATACTTATCATTTGTTGGATACCCATCAGCGGAATACTCATCTGTGGGATACTCATCATCCGCGGGATTCTCATTTGTTGGATACTTAGCAGGCGCCGGTTCGATGGGAATTATGGCCTCTTTCGGAGCTGCAGAAGGGGTGTAGACGATCGCAATTGTGGTTTGGGTCGTGTACGTCACGCAGCTCTCTGCTGGTGGAGGGGTGCAACTTAAGATGTTGGTTGCGTCGTAGGAAGAAGAGGCGGAGCTGTCGGTGGGATAAGGGTCATTTGGCTCGGTGGGGTAGCCGTCTGTTGGGTGGGAGGCGCCTGGTCCAGTAGGGTAAGCGTCTGTCGTATATGAGGCACTTGGCTCAGTGGGGTTCGCGTCCGTAGGATAGGAGGCGCTTGGCTCGGAAGGATAGCTGCCAGAAGTACCTGAAGTGTTGGACTGAGTTGTTGAAGCGGTAGTTGAGACGATGGTCGATGTGGACTGTCGTGTGTTTGAGGCTGAAGCACGGTTGCTAGATGATCTACCTGGCTGGTTTTGGAAAACCCTCAGATAATTGATAGACCAGTAAGCTTCTTGGAAGTCTTTGGGGTTGTTCTTGACATAATCTTCGCAGGTGTCGGCTTTGGCAGAGCAGGTATTATACTCGGGCCAAGTGACTCTGGCCCAGTCGCCGCAGAAGGCGGTGTTGAAAATCTGATGCCACGGAAGTTTATTTGATTAGTTTCAAGTCATATGTGATGGACAGAGATTGAGAAGTACATACAATTCGCTGTTCCTTGAAGAACTTGTCAAAGTCGCAACCCGTGAAATGTGCGACTGGTTTACCCCAAACCGAGGGGTCGGGGTTTACCCCATTGATATTTGCGGGAATATGGGAACGTGGGAAAAACCAGACGCTGACGGCGTCGCTCTTCCACTCCATCGCATACACACCCCCACCAATTGAATTGAAGTCAGGTCCCCAACCCTTCGAGCTGGTATCCTTAAACAAACAACCTTGGTTTGAAGGCTGATTTGGCGAGTATACATCACAGTCGGTAGTGACGAGACTGCCTGTGAACTTACCGTTGTTTTCTATTTTACACCCCTTCGTAGAGTGCAACGCCACAACATTTTGTTTTTGGGTGTTGACACCCTCGATGATATCGAATTCGCCGTCATCTGGCCAAGAAGCCCCTGTCGTCCAGCTGTGATGAATAGTCAGAATACCGGCAACTGGGAATTGACATACTTCGATGCGCCTTAGGAGAAGCTAGTGGGACTCACAATGCGGGCCAGGTTCCGCAGATCCCTCCTGGCATGTGGGAAATATCAGCCACAATTAGTCCATGTTTGTAGGTTTTCTTCGTCTCGAGTCGAACACTCTTGCGGCCCGAGCCAGTTGCGATGTTGGTATAATCAACTCCGAGATAAACAAAATCGTTTTTGTCAGAAGCTAGCCCATCCTTCACTGCCGTGTTTTGATCGACGTAGGTAACATAAGCATTGCTGGGGTCAGCACCCTGTAAAACTGTTAGTTAGTTGCATCAACGCCAGCAGTTGTGGTAGCCAAGCACTACTGGATCAGGGACTTACATCGAAGAACTCGAAGCCGTCAAAGAAGTTTGATGGCTGATAGTCATCTTTCAACACGTAGGACGCGGAGCTGAGCTTAGTCACGGCGACCAGCAAAGTCAGGCCGGTAGCCCTCATGATGACTTCGTTTGCTTCTTGCTTGTCTTTCTAAAGTAATGATACAGTTATATTATTTATTATGTTGTAAACAACACAAAGGGTGTCCGTGGATGGGTATATATCAACTGGATCAGGAGAGTAAAAAACGATCTTCTGCTTCGGCAGAAAGGAGGGTAGCCCGGCGTGTGTTTAAAAACACACAAAGAAGAATAATATCAGAATAAGGAGTGGAATCGTTGCAAGAGCCTGCAACAACTGGACGCCGACGTCTTTGCAGCCTGGAAGGAGTGTCTGCCTGCGGAAATGAAAGGAAAGCACAACAGAACAATGAAAACAAAGACACGGATTCACACAAGGCAGCATCCCGGGGATGAGACTTTGGAGGGGGGGGGGCAGTGATATATTTCTATTGCCATCCTCCTTAATCCCTTCACGACGCGAAAAATTGTTTCCCCCCCCCCCCCC